AGCCCAGCCAGCTCAGGCTTTCTCACCTCTACCTCTTGCGCTACTCACCCAAGCTCTAGAGCCTCACACTGGGCCATAGTCACCTAGAGGCATGAAATGGACCACATCCCCTGAAAGCAAGAGCAGGGATGGACGCTGATTTAGTTCAGCAGGCCAGACAGCCAGAGTACATCAAATCCAGGCCCTTCTTCAGCAGCTCAACACCAGGGGCCTCTTCTGTACCAAGATGGAACAAGTCAACACTTTCCACTAGAAGACAAGGCAGTCTCCACAGAAAGCTGGAATGCAAGCCTGCCCAGGTAAGGCCCAGTTACTATCTGCCCTCGGCGGCTGTCACCCTGGGACCTACTGTGGCCTGGTCACAGCTCAGGAGCTTTAGGTGGGGGCTACACGTTTGCAGTCTGTTTTCCCATCAGGCAAGTAGGCCTGGCCTTTCAAGAGCTCTCTGAAGATCGGGCACTGGTGGCTCATGCCTAGCTACTCAAGAGGCTGAGATCTCAGGATTAAAGTTCAAAGCCAGGCAGAACAGCAAAATCTGTGAGACTCTTATGTCTAATTAATTAGCCAAAAGCCAGAAATGGAGCTGTGGCTTAAGTGGCAGAGCACTAACCTTGAGTAAAAACAAATGAGAGACAATTCCCAGGCCCTGAGTTCAAGGCTCAGTACTGGCACACAGGGTTGAAAGAGCTCTGCCCACTCTGTCCCACAATGCAAGAATTGATGGCAGCCATGGGAGGGGGAGGTGTGTCAGAGAGGGCTCCTGGGCTGCCCATCTGGAAAAGAGAGTGTACCAAGCAAGAAAGAGATGGACAGGCCTGAGACAGGCAGACTAGACAGGAGGCTCTGTAAATAAAACACAGCAGACCTACCTCCAGCCCCTCCTACATCCACAAACAGGCCTGCTGCACTTGGAAAAGCACAGAAACCCAGATGCCAAGGTACACAGGGGCAGGGCCAGAAAGGGAGACAGTGCCAGGTCCAGGGAGCCTCGAACACCATAGCCCAAAGGGAGGGGCTCCAGTCCGCGCTAAAGAAACTTCTGTTCCAAACTGTTAGGGATAAAGCTAGATCCCGGTACCATTGAACACCACCCCCCCCTCCTTGGGAGAAGAGGATCAGCCCTCACCCTGGCATAGAGGGATCTGCCCAAGATGGCTGGGGCTATCAGTGCTGGAGCTGAAATGCAAACTGTTCCTTTCCCTTTCTCCCATGCTTGTCATGCTTATTCTAGGCAAGGTTGGCTTTGTGGGCAGTCACAAAGGCCCTCAAGCATAAAAGGACCCCCATGTTTGCTGCCACCATGTTGAAATCATTACATCCAAGGCCAGCTTGACTGTCACCTCCTGGGGCCCTTCTCAGGTCTCCTCCCATCCCAGGCAGATTTCCACTCCCTGTATGAGGAGGGCCAGGGAGCCTGATACCAGCCGGCTGAAGAGCCCGCTACTGATTGTGCCATGCCTGCCTCTCTCAAAGTCCTCTCCTAGAACTTCCTGCTGGCCAAGTTTCCGAAGGACAATCTTAAGGACATTGAACAAAGGGGTCTTGGAGAAAAGGTTTCCAGATCAGGCTCGATAACGGGCCCCAGGAACAATCCACTTCTTTATTTGCAAGAAACTGGCAGACATGCCAGGGACACTGGGCCAGGACTGCAGGCCAGACAATCCCAGAGCGGCCTTAGGACCCCCTCCAACATGAGGGGCCCTGCTGGGATAGAGGGAGAAGGTGAAATATGGGATGGTGTGCAGTTCATAAGCACTAATTCTGGCCCTCTCACGTGCTGGCTGTGTAGCCCACCCTCTCAGAGCCTCAGTTTCCCCTTTGCCAAGTGGGTATTAGCAGGCCCATCCATGGAGGGAGATGCTGGAATAAAAAGGAAAACTTCCCACCCATCTTGGCTCTGAACCCACCTCTAACATTTCTCATCGACCTTCCTAGGTCTCAGTTTCCTCACCTGGCAATGGCTCAGTATGCTTCCCTCTTAGGCTTGAGGATGGGGTGGAGGGTACTCACAGAACGTACCAGCCTCTTGTAATAAGGCACTCAAAGTTGGGTGCTTGTAGGCTCAGCAACCCAGGAATCAATTGAAGGGTAGGAAGGGGCAGGGGAGAGGAATGGGAGGGATACCTACTACTTGGAAAGGACAGATGAGGGTCACCTGTTGTACCTAGATTCAGAGGGTACTCAAACCTCAGGAAGCCTGGATGGAGCCCCCAGAGGATTAAGAGCAGGAACAGGGCCCCATGATCATCCCAGGACAATAACCCACAGCAGCCCCACGCTATCCATGACCCATTTCCTTGTGAGAACAAAGCTTTCAATTCAGCAAAACACCCAGAACTCTTCTCAGCAGTCTATATCCCATCTGACCACGCAGAGAGGGCAGAGGGAGAGTTTTCTTGTCCAGATGAGGAAACTAAGGGCCAGGGAGGGACAGGACTTGTCCAGAGTCAGTCCAGTGGCAGCCCTGAAAACCACAACAGCCACCCTCCCCCACTCAGCCTCCACCAAGAGCTGCCCAGGACCGCTGGGAACTGTGGATGTTTCTGCAGGTACAAAACATCGACCTCCAAGCTGCTTTTCTTAGAACACAATTTTTCTGTGTGTGTGCATCTATCTGTGTGTGAGAACTTGGGCCTAGGCCCTTGTGTGCAATTCAATTTGTGACCATGTGTCAGCCTGCACACGCATGCACGCACACCTGACATGAGTGGTCTGTGCACACATGCACATGTGGTTCCTGTACTCGCATGCACATCAATGACTGCTCATGTGTACACATATGTGCACATTTACATGTTGTTGGCATGCATGAGCATATTTTCAAGCACAGTTACAGGTACTACTTATGTCTGACTGCATGAGTGTGTGTGTGTATGTACATGTGTGTGTGTGTGTGTGTGTGTGTGTGTGTGTGTGTGCATGCATGCAGTGGGTACAGCGGGCCTGAGAGTGTGTGAAGATGCTTGCATGTGTGTCAATGCTCATGTGAGAACATCAAGTCCAATATAAACACAAAGCCATCCAAGTCCCTTCTTCCTCATCAACACTCAAACCTTTCAGACATTCTCTGCCTCCTCCAAGAAGCCTTCCTGTTTCCCAGGTTCCACTCAGAATTCCCACATCAACCCCATCCCACATCAGAGCAGTTCTACAATGGCACCAGGAGCTGCCAATGTCCCTTCCTCTAGTCCTTTGTGCCCCCCGCCCCCATCCCCGCCATAGGGCTTCAACTCAGGGCCTGGGTGCTCAAGGCTAATGCTCGACCACTTTGAGCCACAGAGCCACTTCCAGTTTGCTGGTGGTTAACTTGAGATAAGAGACTCACAGACTTTCCTACCCAGGCTGGCTTCAAACTGTGATCCTCAGATCTCAGCCTCCTGACTTGCTAGGACTACAGGCGTGAGCCACTGGCACCCAGCCTCTCTATGCTTCTTTTCTGGCCCCAGCTGAGTTTTCTAACCTCCTATTGGGTCCTTGGGACAGCTCCCTAGTATCCCTGCCTCTAGATAGGGCCTTTCCAAGGCAGTCACAAGGCTCCAGTTTAAGCACACCTGTAACAGTACTTACCTGACTTAGAGCCTTCCATGGCTCCCTGCTACCCTTGGGATTCAGTGCCCCGCCTGGCATTTGCGGCCTTCACAATCCCTTGCCTTCCCCTTCCCCTTCCTCATCTTCCTAGTCTCTCCCACTTGTTTACTGCACCCATCTCCCCACTTTTACCTTGTGTACCTCCCACAACTGTCCTGCTAACCGCTGAACCCTGCCCGCCTGTGTTCTGGGGATGCCTCTGTCAAGATCTCTCTGCTTCTCCACAGGACAACAGGCTCAGCCACCCTTTCCCTGGCATGGGAGCCTGGCATACAGCAAGTGACATGTGAGCTGGATCAGGGGGTGGGGGAACCAACCTGAAGAAAGCTTTATGCAGCCAACACAACCCGTCTCTGCATGTGTTGAGGGGACTCTGGGGTGCAACTCACGGGCCAGGCTGGTGGAGGCCAAACTCTAGCCACACAGAGCTTATGAAACACCAGCAACCACCTATAAAAGGGCATTCCCCTTCCTTCCTTCCTTCCTTCCTTCCTTCCTCCCTTCCTTCCTTCCTTCCTTCCTTCCTCCCTTCCTTCCTTCCTTCCTTCCTTCCTCCCTTCCTTCCTTCCTCCCTCCCTTCCTCCCTTCCTTCCTCCCTTCCTCCCTTCCTTCCTTGTTGTGCCAGTACTGGGCTTGAACTCAGGGTCTGGTAATCTTACTTGGGTTTTTTGCTCCAGACTGGTGCTCTACCACTTGAGCCACTTCTCCACTTCCAGCTTTTTGCTGGTTAATTAGAGATAAGAGTCTCAGACATTTCTGCCTGGACTGGCTTTGAACTTCGATTCTCAGATCCCTGCCTCTTGGAATAGCTAGTATCAGAGGCGTGAACCATTGGCATTCAGTTCAGGTCCTGTCCCTCTTACTTTGGGTTGAGATAGGACCCAGCACTTCTGGGGACAACTCAACCACACCCCCGTTGCCTTATCCCCATCCCTATCCACAAAAAGAAGCCACAGAAGAGGCAAGGTCAGGGGAATGATAGCCCAGGCCCTGCTGTGTGGGGCTGGTACACTGGCGCACAGAGACCGGACTTAAACCCCAGCCATGGTGACCTTGTGCAAAGTATTTTCCTGACCCCCAGGCTGTTTTCTCACCTGTACCATTGTGCCAGTTATAGCTACTCCCTCCAGGCTAGTTCTGAAGATGGAAAGATAATAACCCACATGCTTAGCAAAGTACCCAAAATACAGGGTTTCCCTGAGGCTATAACTGGGGGAGTTGACAACAGAATAAAATCAAACGTCTGAGTGCCAGACCATGACGCCCCACCCTCCACTGTTTGGTTTGTAAGTCCAGGAAGAACTGGAACCGGAGAAGTGAACAGCTTCCTCACCTGCTCAGGGCAGACCCACACCCCATCCAACCCCACAGGTGGGTACACAGTACCAGCAGGGCTGGCTCAGCCCACTTACCTGCAGAGGTTTCTACCAACCAACCAGAACTTGAGGCTGCTGGGTGTCAGGAAAAGAGAGGTCGCAGGAGAAGGAGGCCGCGGCCCTAGCCCCACTACATCCACACACAGTTGTTGCAAGTTTCTAGAGAAGAGAGCAGAGGGGTCAGTGAGCTCCAGTTCCAGCTCTGCAGGCAACCTCCTACCCCCTTTCTTGAGATCCAGCCTGCCTAGGTTCTTCTGGCCAACCCACCCAAGGGGAGCCCTTGAGAAACTAGGTGATGTCTCATCCCAGGAAAGACACAAGCTCCAGAGCTTCACCTTTGAAGCCCCGGAACAAGAACGAGCCTAAGCAGCCTCCATAGTCCATCCACAACAGCAGCCACACCCCCCCTCACCAGACCCCACCAGCCAGCCTTCTGTGTCCAGCCTTGGCACTTGCCAGGTGCCCTGCCATGACTCTTCATCCTCTTCTCTGTCTTTTCAAGTCTTGCTAGCCTCTGAGCCCCTGCTCAAATGCTTTGTTGGGGCCATCTGTCCCACTCCCAGGGGATCTTTAGGGCCTAGCTGACTGTTTCTCTTCCAGCCTTCCATAGGTCTGTCCCATTCACCAGGCAGAGACCAGGGTGTCTGTTTCAGTTGATCAGTTATCTGGGCTTGTTATCAAGGGCCACAGATGTTTTAGATGGATGGATGGATGGGTGGGTAAACAGATGGAAGGATGGATAGGTAGATGAACGGATGGATGGGTAGATGGATGAATGAATGGAAATATCATAATTCTGGTGGATGGAAGCTATTCCATGAACAAACTAGACAAAGGAGGTCAAGTATCTTGAACTCAAGAATCCCACTGGAAGCTCCACAGCACTCCCACATCCTTCCCGCTGTCCAGTTCTAGAACAGGGGGTCAGGTTGGTGGGAGGACAGACTCGGTGCTATTGATGCTTTTCTCTACCATTTTCCAAATGAGGAAACTGAGGGCCCAATGAGGGAATGGTTCTTCCCATGGTGCTCCAGCAGGTGGGAGAGGCAAGGTCAGGAGTAGAACTCAAGTCTCCAGCCTTGCCTAATGCCCGACACTGTCGGGTCCTGTGGTCCCAGCCACATGACTCCCTTGTCTTTTGAGGACCCAGTTGGCCATAGGGCAGCTTTTGGCAACAGAGTTCAGCAACAGAAGGCCTGTGGGACTAGAAAAAGTGTCACAGAAGTGATCACCCTGGGAACAGAGCCACCTGATCTGATGGCCCAGCCTGTATACCTGAAGCTCGGAGCAGGTTAGATCACAGGGAAATCCCTCTAGCAAGTCCACTGCTGCCCAGGGCCAGAGACATCCCTTCCAATCTGCATTCAGCTGGTGGGCCTTTCTCAATCCCCCTTTGGGGCCTCTAAGTGCTGCTGGGGTGCCTAACACCCTGAGAACATGATGGGTATGTCTCATGCCTTGTGGCCTGTCCCATGGCCCATTTTCACAGAGATGCTTGCATTTGCTACCGGCTGTGCTAAGGCCTAGTGGCCACAAAACAAATAAATTGGTGGAGCCATGTGAGCTACTTCGTTGCCTCAAGAATGAAGGACCTACAACTACATCCAGCAACACAGATGAATCCACAAATGTAACATTGATTGAAAAAGCCAGACTTGGGAGACAATAGACTTAGGAGATCCATTTATATCAAGGTCAAGACGCAAATGGACTCCATGCCTACAGCAGACAGAACAGGACCACAGCCCCTGTGTGGTTCTTCCTTCCCATCAAGGGGAGGGGTTTCTTCTCCACCCTGAACTGAATTTCCATTCAGCAAATTGTGTGTGTGTGTGTGTGTCTGTCTGTCTGTCTGTACTGGGGCTTGTATTCATGGTTTTCACCCCCTTGCTTGGCTTTTTCACTCAAAGCTTAGTGCTCTACCATTTGAGCCACGCAGTCCTGCTTCTGGCTTTTTGCTGATTAATTGGAGGTAAGAGTTTCATGGACTTTTCTGTCAGGGTTGGCTTGGAACCTTGATCCGCAAACATCCAGCCTCCTGAGTAGCTAGGATTATAGTGTGAGCCACCAGTGAGTGCCTAGCTCCTGGAGCAAATTTCAATGTAGTGATAAGGAACATTTTATAAAGCCTCAAAGATAAATCTTGAGACTAGGCCTCAAAAAGGTCTTCCATTTCTGACCTTGACTCATGGACCACCTCCAGGCCATGAGGCCCAACCAACAGCCAGTACTAGCTGCTAGCTATGAGAGAAATCATCTTAGACCCTCCCTTCCAGCCAGCCTGCCAGAGAAACCCAGAAGCAGACAGACAGCCCAGCCCAACCACACACTGGTGAGATTTCATAACTGGGAGCTGTTTAAGGTCTCTCGTTTTGGGATGAGCCAATGGGTATCAGACTGTTGGAAGTCTAGATCCCTTTTCCTGGGGGGAAATAGTAGGCAGATCCGGCCCCACCCTGGCCAGTTGCCTCCTCAGCCATCCCCTGTCCTGCTGGCTCCACTTTCTCCTCAATCTGAAAAGCCTTTCAATTTCCCACCATGCTTCAGCCTGGAGCCAGGCAGCATCTCTTCCTGGAAGCCCATCCTGACTTCCCTCTCTGATTTGCTCCTGGGCTGGGCCTGCCTCTGGATGCATAGGACTATACCTTTTACCTCCCCTCTATCTCCCCATGCTTTGAAAACTTTCCCTTAGGCTCAGAGTCCCTGTCAGAGTCAAACAGTACCCCTCCTCTTCTTTCCCAGGGTAGAGACCCTTACAGCCATCCTGTGATAATCAGTGCTCACCAGGGACCCAGGGACCCAGGAGAGTAGTGCCCACAATGCCTTATGCCAGCACAAGACAGGGTAATTCTCAGAGCCCAGCTGCTCCTGCACAGTCCAAGGATAGGCACGAAGAAGGTCTACAGAATGAGTGGTCATATGGAGGTTCCCAGCTTTTAGCTGATCATGACCTCATCAATGCATGCCACTCCTCCTTCATAATTACCTGTTAAAATTGTCAGACCAATTGGCAGTCCTCAGGTGCTCCACCCAGAGCCAAAGCAAAGTAAGCTGCTCTGGGAGAGCCGAGGAAGAGCCTCGAGCCCAGCCACGATCCCTCTGTGCAGTGCCTCTCTCCAGAAGGCATTTTTAGGGTCGGGCCTCTGCAGACTCCCAATGCCAGGCCCTCAGCCTGTACATCCCCTCTGCTGGGTGTGGCTCAGAAGCCCACATCTTCACAACCCCAGCTCTGGCCTTATGCAGGTGTGACCTCTGGGAGCCTCTCTGGTCAGCTCTTTCTCTGTCATCTGAGTGATGGGCAAAGTCAATCAACTCTTGTAGGTACCAGGTTTTACTCTCCAGTGGGGACATGATTCCAGAGAGGCCAGACGGGGGCCTCTTCCTGCCACCTTTAGGGGCCCCACTATACCAGTGACCATGCCTGCCAGCAAGCTATATGCCGGTGCAGCTACCCTCAGTCCCCTAAGTGCAGGTCATAGCACCTGCTTGGCACCTGTTCCCTGCCTCAGGTACCCCCTATGCTAAGAAAAGAAGTCCCCTTACCCAGCAGAGAGACACAGAAAAGCCAGAAAGTGACCAGGTAAGGCAGGGGGAGGACACCAGTTCCTCGGAGAGGGAAGGGGTCTTGTCCTGAGCAGAGGTGTTTCACAAGGGCAGCTGGGTAGGTAGTAGCCAACTGGGGAGAGGGGTGAGTATCCCATCCCAAGAGCATGTAGAGCATCGGCTGGGGCTGTGGGTGCTGTGAGCACCAGAAGGAAGCTGGACTCCACATTCTGTGAACCCTCCTGGCTGTTAGAATCACCAGGCTGACTGCTCGGCCCACAGCTCCAGTGCCGCAGGCCCCTCCCCTGAGAACGGCAGCTATGGGGTCTGGAAGCCAGCCCAGAACTTTAAACTGTTAACCAGTCCTCCCAGGTGCTCCTCTGCCTCTGCAAAATATGGAGAGCATAGCAGATGACCTTCCAGATCCCTCTGGGCCCAGAGATTAGTGATTCTGAGTCTCCCTCCCTCCATCACCCAAACCCATCTGGAAGACACCAGCCGGGTAGTGGCCTGGTGCATCATTAAAAATGATTTAAAACCTTTAGGAGGGGGGTCAAAATGTCGAGGAAGGGGGGGGGGGTGGTCTCAACCCATGGTGCTAGCCTTGCTCCTTCCTAGCCCCCTTGAGCCCTTAGGGCCGGCCTAGGAAAGCTCAGCACTGGGGAGGAGGTGACAGCTGTTCTGCTACTGCTTAGAGAGGCCCAGGGAAAGCAATTATCTTGCTCTTAGCTGAGAGGCACTGGCTTTTACCCGCCCCCTTCCCTCCCTCTCTCCTCCTCCCCCCTTCACACACACACACACACACACACACACACACACACACACACACACACACACACAGGCCAAGATGCCATGGCAGGCTCTGAATGCCTGCCCTCCCCCCACCCACCCCCCTTTCAGCCTCCAGATTTCTCTCTCCATCCTCCAAGCACATTTCCAACACTTAAATCATTTAGCCCGCTAAACCGGAGACGGCAAATGGGTGCTATTTCTTAAAAACATACAGAGAGCGTATTAAATTATTGATAGCCATTAAACAGGGGGAAAAATTAAACAGCTCTCAGCTCTTATCAATCATTCATGCAGTTTCCACTGGGGTGTTTTCTGGAGAGCGATCGCTCGGGCAACCCAGGGAGCAGGCTCCTGCCAGCCAGGAAGATGAGGAAGGCAGAGAGAAGGCAGCGGCTGGAGGGTAGCAAGCCAGAAGGGCCGCCCAGACCCCCAGCAGTCACTCTGGGAAGAGCAGAGGCAGGGGCAGGGGCGGGACAGGGAGGCCAGGCTTACCAATTGCAAACACCCTCTTCCCTCTTCCATCACTAACAAAGGGACACTCCAATACCATCTAACATTGCCCCTTAATTAAGTTCAGTCTGTTCTTATTAGACACCTACAATATATCTGGGCGTGCAGGATCCACAAATAAACAAGGCTGAAGGCCCTCGCTTTGGCTAACGGGAGAGCCCTTTGCAGGGAAAGCGGGATTGTATCACATACTGACAATGCCCTGAACAGAAAGCCATGGCCAAGGACAGAGAAACAGGGACAGATCCAACTGGAGGGGTGCCTACTTGCCAAGGAAGACTTCGCCAAACAAGCCATTCTTAGGTACATACTTG